GGCCCCCTTTCTTTTCACGCGCACACCTCCCCCGTCGCACATATCTTTTATATCGCGTATAAATCACAGTTACATCATAAATCGCGGCGAGTTCCTTTCTCGTCAACTCTTTTTCACCTTCGCTCGGCCTCGTTTTCCCTTTTTGTTTAGCGATATTCGAATCAATCCCATTGATACTCGAACTCGGCGCGTTATAAGAACTTACGACGCGATTGCTGCGCTCTTTCGAGCGATTTTCCTTTGAGGCGACTCGTTTAACTCTCGCAAAACGCGATCGATTTCATTTTTTCGCCCGTATACGTGGCACGCGATCGATGGATTTCGTTTAAGTCCGATTTACTAGTTGACGCGTCGTACGAGATGTAAATTAGCCGTTAGGTCATATATTTAATGACGAATAATTTACTCCGTTGCTTTACAAGAGAAACTGGTAGTAAAGTTTCATCAATATAAGATGGAAAGCAAATATAAAATTTGTATTGATATATTTATGAGTAGAAAATGTAAAGACCACAGATAAGGTAGTAGACTATACGTACAATAGCATCGATCGAAGGCGATAGTTCGCTCGAACCGGGGAGAAAAAGACGATTGTAACGTAAAATCGAATAATGCATCTTCGCAGGAACATATTCCCGTGTTTGTCTTGAACGGGTACGAGGATCTGGAACTCTTCCGAGAAATAGAGCCTGCGGATCTCGATTATCTGCGTATACATCAGCCGGAGCATCGCGCGAAGATACTCACCGCTGTACAATTACTGCACGATCTTCAATGTAAGTTACCACATTTACAATAGATCCCTAAATTCCTCCGATTACTCGAATCGTTATCAACGTTAAATTCATCCGTCATAATCAACTGTAGCTGATCTTTCAATGACGAGCTCTTATATTTTCGTGTACATAAAATTACATAGTATAGAACGCAACGAATAGAATAATTTTTCAATTAGAAAGAAAATTCAATTATCGAACCAAATAAATAACCGCGGTAGTAAGTTTGAATATCTACAAGTATAAGTAGTGTTAATGGCTAAAAAAAGAATCGTGGTTTTTAATCCCTTGCGAAAAGTTTCAACCCAACGCAGTGGAAAGAAGGAATGGAAAAAACACTAAACGCAAGGAGTGAACACTAGATTTACGGTCAACCCATCAGTTTAGCGAACACCAATTTTCACGAGCATTATTGAACAAAATATTTCCTCCATTCTGGTTGACGCAGTGATATAAACACATATCCCAACCCTCCATCTTGAGTCACTAATTTCTAATAAAAAGATCCATACGAACAAACCCCTACCGTTCTAGAAACAACGTATTAATATCCCACACCAGGAACCATTGCATTAGCGTATAACAGCAGCAATTACCGCACAACAAATGTCCGTAAATCTAGTGTTAAGACGACTAGCGAACGTCGCTACAACGTCGATGTGTTGTTCTGTCCCCGACAGCCGGCAGCGAGGGCGATTTAGCGTCGAGCTCGGAGGGCGACGAGGTCAGTCGGCTGGTGTTAACCTCGGGCCAGACGTCCGGCCACTGCTCACCGTTTAATCGCCGCCAGTTCCCCCGGGACTCCGGTTGCTATGACGCTCACAAGAATCCGACCGGCCGGCGGACCGTGAGCCCGGAATCGACGGGCGCCAAGTTGTCCAGGGAGAACAATCTCGACGCGAGCACCGCTGCGAAGAGCGTGGGCGGCGCGGGCGGCGAGGGAAGCGGCGGGTCCGACAGCAAGGACGATTTCCATCCGAACATACCCATCGCGGGGAACGCGGCCGCGCAGAAGGACGGCCACTTCGACAAGTCGCCGTTGCTGCGCGCGGGCAACATCCGCTACATCGCGAAGAGAGGCAACTTCGGCGAGTCCGTGGTGATCGAGGACGATGGCGGCCAGAAGTTGGGCAACATGGTGAAGTACGTGGTGGGCAGCGGCGACATGGGCCTCGAGGGCGCCGGATCTGTCACCGGCCTCGGCCAGCGGGGCTGCGTCAGCGAGAAGTCCAGCGACTCTGGCGTTAGCTCTTCCAGTATCAGCTCAGCGCCACCACCCAGGGATAAGGCTCTTTCCAGCGTAGCCTCGGACTCACCCACTAAGAACTTCGGCAACTTCAACAGATCTTCGCCCACCTCGCAGCCGGCCAACAGCAAAGGTCAAACCGACGACGCCAATTATCCGTGATAAGCGACGCGGCCTGCGTTCGACGAAGTCCCTGGAAGCACTTCCACTCCTCACCTTGCTTCCCAGCGTCGCGCACGTCCGAATTTCTCGTGAGGCGTCCTCGTACGGTTCCGTAGGTTCGTGACACGCCATTCCGCGGCTCGTTAGCGCGCGAGGTCGACGGGATTCGGTTCCGCTATATCGCAGGTACTCTATATTTAGCAGGGTATAGTCTTCGGATTCGACGCGGAGTTGCGGAGGCTGAACGAAATTCATGGAAGGGTCTTTTCGGCAGGATTTTTCGATTTTCCAGAGCACCGAGCTGAATCAGCGAACGCACGGTTCTGGAGTTCCCCGCGATCGACCGGCAATATGGGAAGACGCGAAATCGACGAGGATCGGGTAAACGCGAACATAATAGATTCTTTTGAACGGAGGGAACGGCGAATTTCTTTGACGTGTGGCTCAGCGAGTAGTGCAGCGCTACGATCGTTTGGGAACAGTCCACACGCGGCGTTAGATACACGTGGAAGCGGAAGTGCCGGCGTGGATTGAGTTTTCCTTTGGAATCCGATGCAAATTTACGCAACGCAAGATACTTGATTCAGTTTTCTTCCTTCTTAAAATGTATGTCCGAAGAGGTATGAAGTTGGATAATAAGCGACACGACTGTTCACGGCTGAACGTAAATAGTTTAAGGGATTCAGCATCTAATGTACCAATGTACCAAGTTTGAGGTTCGTTCAAATCTTTCGAAGTGGAAGGTCGTGTTTCACGGAAAAGTTAGATTGAGAATTCCGTATTTCGCAGATTTACACAAATGTCACGGGGAAGCGAGATCCGTAGCCGGCCGATACTTTCGTCGATCGCTGCGTATGATGATCTCCCGTTACATTCGTGTCTTGAGTCCGAGCACGACTGCCCACGCTCGACAGATCCTGTAAATATCGCGGAACAGGGGTTTCGTTTGCTTTAATTTCACCTCATATAATAGTGAATCGTATCTTAAAATACATCGGATCGAAAGAAATAACGAGGTGCCTTGGTACCCTTTGTTGCCTTAACGATCCTTTCTCCTCGTTACTCTATAATCAAAGGTCCATGCCTGTGCTACCGTTTTTTTTCCGCCGAGGACTACCGGCTTCATTTCTCCCACCTCGATACCAACCTCATGCCAAGGGGCGGGGGAATGTACTTCATTATTCTCGTTCTGAATTTTTCAAACTCCCACGCGCAGAAAGGAGATACAACGGAAAAGGGGGGCGAGGTGTAAGAAGCAAAATTTAAGCAGTTTTAACGAGGAGAGCGAGC